CCCTTTAGACTCCTCTGCCTCCGCCCAACTATGAGTCAGGTAAACCAGAAGATCATCTGAGGTGAGAACTGAGCGACCCCGACAGTATCTGTCCTGGTGGTCACTAACTAGCTGGTGATTCTCAAGGTACCTCATGAGCTGGCAATTTATAATAGTCTCCATTATTTTAACAACGAAATGATGGCTATAGGCATGCCTATATATTTGGATAAGTCAGAGCGGTCGCCTTTTTTAGTGCTCGGGTGCACCAAAGCTGTCTTCCATGAGTTCGGGACTACGCTTAGGGCTACTCGAGTACCGGTGCCTACTCCGAAGCACACGTCTTCAGCACAATAAGAGGAACTCCACCAGGCCCCGAGTGGACCTGACGGGCTTGTTATAACTAATTAATCAATGTTTGCGAAGTAATAATAATAATAATTCCGTCCTCCATGGTGGCATTACACCGGAGGCGTGGAGCAGAAGTGCGGTGGTCTTGTTCTTCAAGAAAGGCGACAACGCTCTCTTGAAGAACTACAGACCGATTTCCCTTCTGAGCCGCGTCTACGTGCTGTTTTCGAGAGTCATTACGAATCGTCTCGCGCGCAGACTTGACGACTTCCAGCCTCCCGAACAAGCCGGTTTCCGAAAAGGCTTTAGCACCATAGACCACATACATACCCTTCGGCAAATTGTGCAGAAGTCCGAGGAGTACAATTTGCCACTATGTCTGGCGTATGTGGACTATGAGAAAGCCTTTGATCCCGTCGAAATTTGGGCGGTGCTGCAGTCCCTTCAGCGATGCCAAGTTGACTGTTGGTATATCGAAGTGTTGAAGTGCTTGTACAGTAGGGCTACGATGGCTATCCGAGTACAGAACCAGAGTACGAAACCTATCCAATTGCAGAGAGGTGTAAGACAGGGTGACGTCATATCCCCGAAACTCTTTACCGCTGCATTGGAAGATGTTTTCAAGCTTCTGGACTGGAAAGGATACGGTATCAACATCAATGGCGAGTACATCACTCACCTTCGATTTGCCGACGATATAGTCCTTATGGCAGAATCGCTGGAGGACCTAAGCACTATGCTCAATGACCTCAATAGTGTTTCCCAACGGATAGGTCTTAAGATGAACATGGACAAAACAAAGATCATGTTTAATGTCCATGTCACACCTATGCCGGTAGTTGTTGGGAACACTAAGCTCGAAGTTGTTGACGAGTATGTTTACCTGGGACAAATAGTCCGACTAGGTAAGTCCAACTTCGACCGAGAGGTCAATCGACGGATTCAACTCGGTTGGGCAGTGTTCGGGAAATTACGGCACATCTTCTCGTCAGGTATACCTCAAAACTTGAAAACGAGACTGTACACCCAGTGCGTGTTGCCAGTGATGACATACGGAACTGAGACGTGGTCCTTCACTGCTGGCCGGATGAGGAAGCTCAAGGTCGCTCAGCGAGCTATGGAGAGGGCTATGCTCGGAATTTCTCTGCGTGATAAACTCAGAAATGAGGATATCCGCAGTAGAACTAGAGTGACCGACATAGCCCAACGGATTAGTAAGCTGAAGTGGCAATGGCCCGGCCATATAGCTCGAAGAACCGACAACCGATGGGGAAGAAAGGTTCTCGAGTGGCAGCCTCGTACCGGCAGGCGAAGTGTAGGGCGTCCCCACTAGATGGAGTGACGACCTGGTAAGATATGCAGGAAGTCGATGGATGCAGGTAGCTCAGGACCGTGCTTTGTGGCATTCTTTGGGGGAGGCCTATGTTCAGCAGTGGACTTGTGAAGGGCTGTAATGATGATGATGATGATGATGATGATGAATAATAATAATAATGTGTATGATAATTTGCCACTATGAGTTTACCTAACACTCATAAGTCGATCTATATTTTTATAGAATAAGGGCAACAAACGAGCACACAGTCCATCTGATGGTAAGTGGATGCTGTCGCCCTATCTTCGATTAAGAATCAAAATGCAGATGCGTTGCCACCCCTGAGGACTATGATGGAATGCTTCGTTTTCGGTATACCCTAATCTCTACAGTCACCATACGAAACACAGCATCATAAAGATGCTATATTGCGCTGGTATTTTATGTGATCCTTCCCCGGCCGAGCCAACCCATTCGTGCTTCACCAAAATATACCTACCACTTCAAAATTTCTTTTTGCACCAAAAAATACAAATCGCTTTACCAGCGCAAAATGCTCCTTGATTGCCATTGTTGGTTGTAAAAAGTCGCGAAGTATCGTTGTTACCGTCTAGGACAAATTTATATTATAGTGAGGTCTTACATAGCGATTATGGCACAATCCCTCGTCTTAGGAGAGGCAAACTAGACAAAATACTCGTGTGTTTAAAATATTCACCAAAAACCGCTTCGTTAAAAATATAATCACAAAAAAATACTGTTGAGTGCTATATTTTTCTGACTTTTTCTACGCCAACTACCGAATTGCATTACGTTTTTTTTTCTTTATCTTATATGACTAATTACAAGATAAACAGCAGACCTGACACGAATTCATAGTATGTACTAACACTGCTTAGTTAATTAATTCATTATTTCAGCATTACGTATTTGAATTCAATTTCATTTACAGAGTGTTAGAAAAAAAGAATTACCTCTCTCCTATTTAATTTTTTTTATATGTAACGGAAGTGACAAACGAACCCACAGCCTACCTTATGGTAAGTGGCTACTGCTGCCCATGCAACCAACTTTAAACAAAGAAGGTTACAGATGCGTTATCATCTCTGCCGACTAAGATGGAATGCCTCACAGCTTGTAATTATACTGGGATTCTTTGACCGATCAAACCGAAACATAGCAAGGCGAGCGCTGCTGTTTGGCGGCAGAAATAGGTAAGTGCGTGGTACCAACCCAGACGAACTCCTTGGCAGAAAAGGAGTTCTGCCACCTTGTTCGGGCCAGAAAGACACGTGGCTTGCAATAGTTGGCGGTGTACTATCTTTCTTATTTCGTCCACATGACCGATGTAAATTATCCTCACCGGCTATAGGGAGCACCGTCAAAAGTTTCTGTTTTCTTCTTGATAAATTATTTTTACAATAAGAGACAGCGATTATGATATATTCTTTTAACGATATGAGAGCCCCGTACTCGCAGTGAAACGTTACGTGCTAGTAAAATTTAAATTACTCTCTTAATTATAGAAGTAGGCTGAAAATATTGTTCAATAATTCAAGTGCAAGTTAAAATATTAGCCTGTAAGTGAGCTCTTGCATTATCAGACTCTTGTTAAGTTTCGCTATCTTTCCTACAAATAACTATACAGTTTACGTTTTTTGTTATGTGCAATTACACATTCCTCAGTGTGGCATTTGTCATGATTGCTGTATCTGAAACTGTATAAAAGGGATAGAGTATAATAATGTAACGATCATCTGTGGATCATATTTTTCTCGCGTCACTATAGTTTTACCTTCTTTTTAAAATTAACCGAAGAGTAATGAGTGTTTTAAGAACTCCACTAAGTCTAAGTTCGTCATCACAGCCAGATTTTTCCACAATACAGGACGATGTTCCTACAAATTTTCATGCAATGAAAACGAAAATCACTGGATTGTCACTGTAAAGGTTATCACACATTTATGAGCACCGTACGCGCCATACGCGTCACATTTTAGGATTTGTTGTATGAAATCATATGAAACATCGCACATCACCCACACCATACGCGCTCTATTTTATAAAATGTGGTAGGTATCCGAATAGGAGGCAGGCTGCTGATACTCAACGTTTCTTAATGTTGACAACAAACTAAAGAAGAAATATTATTTAAAGTGGCTAGTGTTTTTCTAGTCGTTCAGTAGAATAAGGTTTCAATTAGTGGCAAGATCATCACTCCACCATTAACCCTAATACTAAACATTTGCGTACGGCGCGTTCGGCGCGTACGTGCTAATATGCAGAGAGCATCAGCCAAGAGCTGTGGTAGCTCAGATGGTTAGCGCTCGCTGTAAGCTTCATAGTACGCGAGCAACCCGGGTTCGATGAAATTGTTAATAGTAATTTTAAGTAAAACCTGCATGTCTGAGAAATAAGAAAAAAAAATATTTCAAAGACATGTGAAGTTCGCCAACACGCATTGGGACCGCGGCGGACATTTCCTTGCCCTAAAACCCTCTCAGAAATGCGAGGAGGCATGTGCCCAGCAATGGGACGTAAATAGGTTGCAACTTTACTTTACTTTTTACATCAGTAAATGCGGTGCTGATAAATGTGCGTTCACCTTAATAGTCAAAAATGCTGCATGATTTTCAAAAAAAAAATGAGTTCTCTTAATGTCTAGTTTTAAAACCCAAAAAAGAAAAAAAATAATATCACTTTGAGCGCATTACGCCGCGATCTATTTATATTTAGGCAAGGAATACGTGAAATAAAAGTCACTTTCCAAGAACTATTGGAGAAGCAATCGGAAAATGATTGATCTTTCTTCGAAATATTAACATTAAAACCTGAATAAATTGTATACTTAATAATAAAGCACTATTTTCCTTAGTTTCAAAACGAAAAATATTTTTATGTCGTTAATATCGGAATTGAAACTAAAAGATATTCATTAATTTACAATTTTATAGATAATACTTTTATATTCAGTTAAATATTTTCGCAACTTTAAACGACTCTACGCAAAGACTTACTACTACTTATTAAATAGAATAGTTTATTCTACATTACTCCAAACTAATTGAGCCGAAAAGCTATTCTCAACAAAGCAAATATGTATTAAAAAATGAGGAAATTATGAAGTGATAAGTGTACCTTTATTATAGATACGTTTCATTTGATATAAAACCTGATAATCATTACATTTTTATTAATACATTTGCAATCTAAATCGCACTTCGTACAGTACATAAAAATAGTTTGAGTCATTTAGTTTATGTATTAAAATGGCGTTTTATTGTTTCGTTGTGTAAAAAAGGAAACAATAAAAGTTAATTTCTTAATTGTTAAGTGTTGTTAAATTATAACAATAATGACAGATCCTCAAGCTACACATAAAGACCTTATTGGGGAGATAATAAATAGAAGGAAGCTGGGAGAAAATAAGTATCATTCAGAAACGTCTCTTCAAAACTTAAATGAAAATGAGATGGAAAATGTTTCACACATAACAAAAGATCCCGGGGTATGTATATAAATAGTATATAAATGATATATTTTATTTTAATATTTGCATATCTAGAGAATTTCAATTTTGCCTTTGGGGATACAATTGTATAATCGTGTACCTGTAACCTGTACACCAAATAGATTTTGTAGTAAAGGACAAAGGACTATATTATATTATCTATATCTAGGTCATATGTGAGTTAGTGGCCCAGGGGTCCCAGTGTCTCTCCTCAAACGGGTTCCCCCCCGTTAGTATCCGTGGCTTGGTGACCCGCGGTAAACAAAGAGGAACCCACATGGCTAGCGCGAGGTGAAAGGCCGGTCCGAGGTGGTCATTCTGAGAGGACTTGGCGAGCCCACTTCAGATATGTTTTGGGGGATGAAGCTGCTCGCGTCCGTAGCAATTACTTGAATCCTGATTCCCTACACGTACCTATCCCCTGGGTAGTACTAAACGAGCAGTACTACATACTGGTGGTAGGTTGGTCCTTACCACCCACCTGGCAAAGACATACCGCCAAATGATGCAAATCGTGTTCCGGTATGATATTAGGTGAAACCCATTTCTTAGGGAGAATGGGCCTGGACAGTTGCGTTGCGCTTACGAACCGGCTGCGACACGGCCGTTTCTTAGTGTCAGGTGCCTGATTATGGAGGTTAGCGGGATCCGAAGCACGGTTGCACCGCTGGCCGACGTAGATAGTTGGGGCCCAATTAATGAGCCAGCAACTCATGAAAAGCTGCCCCGCCATCTTACGAAAAATCCTGGGATGTCTCCACCATGCCGGTTGGCAACCAGAGGAGAGGGCCTGGTGGCAATTTTCAGGGGGGTTCGGGCGTCCTCGCGATCTCCATGCTAGGTACCATCGATGCTGTGACTCTGTTTGTGTCCCTAGGTTATATGTGTGACGCCTCGTCCAACTGCCATCCTCTCAACCTATTCACTCCCACCATTAATGAAAAAAGGAAAAAGAAGAGTAAGTCTGTACAGCGGTTGCACTCCGTCTCCATCAAAGTGCCCCTCACAAACATCCGAAGTCTGCACTGTAATCTCAATGCAGTCCATTACCACCTTGAGACTGAAAAACCGCACTTACTCTTCTTGACTGAGACGCAGATCAGATGCCCTATAGATGCGGCGTACCTTGCAACTCTGGGTACACATTGGAGCTTAATTACCATCAGTGCGCCAGAGTCTGTCTTTACGTCGGCAACGACATCTGCTGTAAGCGTTTCCGTCACCTTGAAGACCTCTCTTTCTCTACGATCTGGGTATTGATAGACACAGGAATGGATAAAATTATTTATTCTTGTGTCTACCGATCGCACAGCGGTGACCAAGAGACAACTAGGCTGTTTGAACACCTCAGTGAAGCCTCTGATGTGGCTCTAAATCGGTACCCTAATGCACAGTTGGTTTTTCTGGGGGACTTTAATCCCTGTCATCAGGACTGGCTGTTCCCATACCAGAAGACTGACCACGCTGGGAGAGAGGCATGAAATAACAAGCGAATAGGGTACCTGATGTGAATAGGCACACAGCCAACTGCCTCGACCTTCTGCTGACGACCGATCCAGACAGGTACGATGTTCAGGTTACCTCACCCTTGAGAACTTCTGACCACTGTCTGGTGAAATCGGTGTCGTTATATTCCACACCTAACTGCGATTTCCATAGAGTGCGACGAATGTGGCGATACAAGTCAGCAGATTGGGATGAGATGCGGCATTTCTTTGCATCTTAACCTTGGCGGCAGGTCTGCTTCTCCTCTGAAGACCCGTCGAGCTGCGCGGATGCCATAACCAATGGGATACGTCAAGCGATGGAGTATTTCATCCCCTTTTCTGACGTGCCCATTGGTGGTTAAGCTCGCCCATGGTTTAACGCCGAGTGCGCTCGTCCTGAAAAGCACAAGCATATGGCGTACTTATCCTGGGTCGATGATCGAGACCGTAAAGCTCCGGATGTTAGCCTTTAGAAGAGAACCTTTAACCAAGCCGCCATGTCCTGCAAAAAGGCATTACGCCAAGCCAGTTTCGACCGCATTAAACGCATCGGCACAAAGCTCTCTATAAAACCATCTGGCAGTAGAGCTTTTTGGTCTCTCGCCAAAGCGGTCGAGACAAACTTCTGTCGATCTACACTGCCTCGGCTGGTAAAACCAGATGTCTCACTGGCGCATGCATCTAAGGAGAAAGCGGACTTATTTGCTTCTCTTTTTGCTTGCAATTCGCGTCTGGACAATACCAACAGCGTACCATCTCAATTATCTCACTGCGGTACCTCTGTATCAGAGGTCCGTATCACCAACAAGGAGGTTCTTAAAACCTCGCGAAGTCTAGACGTGAACAAAACTAGTAGACCTGGTGGTATACCAGCTATAGTTCTAAAGGCTTGAGCACCTGAGTTGTCTCCTGTGTTAACACGCTTGTTCGGCCTCTCATTCAGGACTGAAATAGTGCCCAAATCTTGGAAGCTGGCTAATGTGCAGCCTGTGCCTAAAAAGGTAGCCGTACCAACCCTGCCAACTATCGGTTAATTTCAATTACCTCCATACTCTGCAAGATTATGGAGCGTATATTGAACGCCCACCTCATAGGATACCTAGAGCAAAATAATCTTTTCAGTGATCGCCAGTACGGGTTTCGCCGAAATCGATCAACTAGGGACCTTCTAGCGTATGCCACTCACATATGGGGCGAAGCCTTCGAGAACAGTGGTGAAGCACTTGCTGTTTCCCTCGATGTTTCGAAGGCCTTTGACAGGGTTTGGCACGTTAGTCTATTGGGCAAGCTTTCAGCGTACGGCATATCCCCAATATGGCCTAATTGTCTGGGTGAAGGACTTTCTGAGTGAACGGTCTCTCCGGGTCGTCGCTGATGGCTGCTCATCCGATACTTTGGCGACTAACGCCGGTATTCCTCAGGGATCCGTTCTCTCCGCAACTCTCTTCCTGCTGCATATAAATGCTCTGCTCATTCCCGGTGTCTATGGGTATGCAGACGACAGCACAGTTGTGGAGAGATACCAACCAAGCGCCCGGTTCAGTTGGGATCAAATCCAGTCAGAAAGAGAGGCTATGGCTGAGTGTGTGAGTCTCACACTACAGGCAGTCTCCGAATGGGGCGATGCCAATCTCGTGAGATTTAACGCCTCCAAAACACAAGCGTGTCTTTTTACCTGTAAAAGGAGCCCGTTCACCTTGGCTCCTACTTTGCGGAATGTATTCTTGGAGTACACTGACCGCCTTCAGTTGTAAGGAATTGAATTTTCTCCGAACCTAAACTATGAGCGATATGAGTCCAGAGCCGAAGCAGCCGCAAGGAAACTTGGTGTCCTTGCAAGGGTGCGGCGGTACTTCACGCCGGGGCAGCTTCTTACCTTATATAAAGCGCAAGTCCGGTCGTGCATGGAGTACTGCTGTCACATATGGGCTGGTGCTGCAAAATACCACCTGGAAGCATTGGACTCAGTGGAGAAACATGCTAAGAGGCTCATTGGTGACCTTGATTTGGTTGAAACCAATCTTGATAGCCTCGAGCACAGGCGCAGAGTAGCCAGTCTCTCGGTATTCTATGCATCCTGCATTTCGGTGAGTGTGCGCAGGAATTACACGCTTTTATTCCTCCCTCTCCTTTCCACCATCGGGCAACCAGGCGGTTGGCGGGTGCATTCCACGCATTAGAACCAAAAGGTTTGCTTCATCTTTTGTAATGCGTACAGAAAAGGAGTGAAATAATTTGCCGGCGTCTATCTTTCCGTCCGAATACAATCTGGGCGTCTTCAAGTTAAAAGTGAATAGGCTTTTGTTACTCTAAGATAGTGCGATTTACCATCTAAGGCTGCATCACCACTTACCACCAGGTGGGATTGTGGTCAAGCACTGGCTTATAATAAGTAAAAAAAATGTGTTGGTGGACTGAGGCGAGACGGGTGTCCTCTCCCCCTACTGCTGCAGCCGAGATGGCGTTGCGGAGCAAGAGTAATGTTGATATGGCGATGCGTCACTCGCCCTATCCTCCGTGAGTTTGGTGGAGCTGCACCGTTGATGCAATATTGATAGGGCTGCGGGGGGAGAGAAGTGTCAGTATTGCGAGACGCCACTCGCCCTACCCTCCCCAGTCGAATTTTGGTTGGTGGCGGAACTATAGACCAGATCCGCCGCTGGAGTCAGGATGACTAGTGCTTCTGAGTGCTAGTATTTCCTGGTCCCATGGCCTTCACGCATCGGGCACGGGGGCGTTCGCTGCGCAGGTGTAGTTAGAGGCCGTGGATAAAGACGCGCCATGTGTTCTGGTGCGCCTTACCTGAGAAGTAGATGGGGCATGAGTAGTCCACTCCCAAGGAGGAGGCACCATGGGGCGGCCGGCGATGGTGAGACGCGGATGCGTGTGTTGAAAGCGTTCCCGTGGCCCTGCCAATATGCGACGAAGGTGGAACACCATGGGGTTTTAGTCAGTGCGAGTCCGACATAACCGTCATAGCCAACACATTATAATGAGTCTTTACCGACAAATTACACTAGTCTGCATAAAATGCCTCTCCTTTCAAACATTGTACATGATTATTTATATTAATTTTTCTTTCGTTTAAAAAAAAATGTCTCAGCATTGTTCTCTATCTATTCGTTAAGTTTCATTAAAATCGATTCAGCCATTCAAAAGAAGATTATCCCGGACAGACAGACAGAGAAAAATTTAAAAAATGGTCGTTATTTAATTTCATGCAACAATATAAGGCATTTATCTGGAATCGTAACTTAATAATAAAAATGTATCACGTGTATACTTTTTTGTAATGACAGGTGTGACTAACTGATATATTTAGGTTATTAGAAACTTCATTTAACTTAATCTGAAAAGTTGTGTCCTTTGTTAGCTTTCATATTTATAGACCTTTAATAATTTCTTCTTTTAGTTTAGCGGTACAAGCAATTATATAAATAATACACATAAATATTTGATTGTTAATTGAAATAATATTACATATATATATATATATATATATATATATATATATATATATATATATGTGACCGCAAGAAATTTAATACAGATTTAAATTCAGCACGTTGTTTCTATACATTTGTACAATTTGTGTTTAATGGAGGATTTCGTTGTAGATCAGTGTTATCATCGGATTTTTTTCGAATTCATATATAAAGGGCCACTGCGAAATTATATATCTTTTGATTTGAATTTTATTAACTAAAGTCGGAAATATTATGTTTTATACATATATACAAGTTTAGTCCAATTGACAACCTCTTCCTTTTTGTAAATTTATTAAGAATCTAATCTTTCAAAATTATAAAAATATTTAAACCTGAGATACAGAAATGACAAAAAATTCATATTTGTTTGTTTGTTCGTTTTCTGTGCATTCTTTCACCATTCCGGTTAGAAGCACGAACACGCTTAGCGGCCACATCAATCAATTGAAACAATTTTTGATGTTTTTACTATCAGATTGTCCTGACTAATCATTTAGTTGCATGAACAACGTATTTCCATCAAATCTATCTTTGTTTTTGTACAACTTGAACTTAATTTTCTACATTCTATGTGTAGTACATCGGTTCCTAAATGAAAATTATTTCTATCTTTTAGGTGTTGAATTTGTCACTAAATGATGTTTTAAATCAAGAAAACAGTCTAGGACGTAGACGCACCGTGTCTCAACCGGGACCGACGTCAGGAAGCTTACAAACCGCAACCGCAGCTCGAGCGGCACGTCGTCGTCCGCTCCGTAGCGTTATGTACGCCCCTGAAATAGAGAGAAACGTGAGTGCCTTTCAGTTCTATTTTGTATTTACTACACGATATGGTTCCTTTTCTCACTTACAAGTCCGTATATTCACTACTGCGATCGGGTTTAAAAGTTGAGAGAGCCGTTAAAATAACAGTTATAAGACATAATATTTTCATTTTGAGTCCACAGGGGTAACAACACATGTGTGACTTTTACAAGTTAGTTGCAAGTGTTTATGGTAAACGATAACTATCAGAGATGAACTGTTAGCTTGTTTACTACTCTAACATAATAACAGTGGTAGAACCACGCGGCAGCTTTTGCTGTCGCACGGATGGGCCTGCTCGAACCGTACCCCGGTTATACGGTACGGTGGTAGTACCACGACCTCACAAAAAACCAGCGTGAAGTAGAGGTTTACCTCTGCGTTTCGCTTGGTGAGTGCAGGTGGCCAGAGGCCCTTTTTACTGGAAATGAGGCATTCCATCTTAGTCCTCACGGGTGACAATGCATCTACATTTTGATTTGTAACAGAGGATGGATGTAGATGTCTATGGGCCGCAGCAACCATTTACCATCAGGTGGACTGTGTGCTCGTTTGTCACCCTTATCCTATAAAAAAATATATATAAACAGAGTGTTGTTATGGACCAATTTTATAATTTATAATTACTATATATCTATATATAAAAATCAATTGCTGTTCGTTAGTCTAACAAAAACTCAACAATGGGTCGACCGATGCCTTAGATTCACAATTGGACCCGGTAGGTGGCGCTGTTGCCAAGATCCAGAAACCATCCGTGCGAAACCGGGACGGATTATTATCTACTGCAGACTTTGAACACCTGCAACAAAACCAAAGTAAATAAGAATACAGATGCTCTTTACCTTGAACAGAAATAAATCTGTACCTCTGAGAACTAAGATAATACTGTATTTCTATAAATTTAAATCAAAACACAACAGTAAGCGTATTTTTTTATAAAATCGATTAACGATCTTAACGAACAGTCTACCTGATGGTAAGTGGCTATTGCAGCCTACGGACACAGGAGCAGGTACTTAATTTGACTGTTTTTTTTATGTGTGCCTCATAACATTTTTCCAGGTGAATCGGTTTCGATGATTCTTTTTTTTAATTTAAAGCTGTACAATTTTTTTAATTTTACCACTTGTTTATCTAAATAGTTTCTTGTAATAATTTAAAATTAAAAATTTTGTACAGCCGACTTCAATATAAGTTATTAAGAATAACTCAAAAACTATTGGCCTGACCTTGATCAAATTCATATGGGACCACACGAGCAATACCAGCTTTCAAATAAAAAAAGAATCATCGAAATCGGTTCACCCAGTAAAAAGTTATGAGGTAACACATATAAAAAAAACATACAGTTGAGTTGAGTACCGTCTCCTTTTTGGAAGTCTGCAGAAAAGAGGCAAATAGATTGCCTATGTTTTGGTTTTGTTAAAAAAATCAAAAAAGTCTGGCTGTAGTAATGAGAAATAACTACTATCTATTAACTACTATTAGTAATAACTATTTATATTATTAATAACTATTAATATTATTGTTATTACCTTATAATATGAAGTATATGGTAGTTAAGCCGTCTTACTTAAGGCGATTTATTATTGAAACATACCTACAATTTACTAAATATTATAACAATTATTTATTAGCATATACATCAATATCATCATCCATTACAGCCCTTCAAATGTCCACTGCTGAAGTAAGCCGTGACCAAGTAATGCCACAAAACACGTTCCTAACCCAACTACCACACTCATCGCATTTCTGCATGTCTTACTAGGTCGCCACTCCATCTAGTAGATGGGCGTCACTCTAGAATATTTCTTCTCTATCGATTTTTTGTTTATCAAACTATATGACCCGGCTGTTGCTACTTCATCTTTCTAATCCATTGCGTTATATCGGTTATTCTGGTATTACTTCGTAGTAATATTCCTATATTACCGGTACTAATTTGCGTAGAGATACTCCGAGCATATCCATAACTGGCTGAACGACCTTAAGCCCTCATACGGCCAGCAGCGGTAGACTACGATGTAATTTCATTTGTCATCACAATACGTCGATATAATATATGAACAGTCTTATTTTACCGTTTTGGGGTATACTTAACGAGAAGATGTATTGTAATCTACAGAACTACTAACCTACAATTGGATCCATCAATTGCCCTCTCGGTCATGTTGGACTTATCTAGTTGAACAATTCATCCTACTTATCAACTGAATATGAGTAGACTGGACTTGGGACGTAACACGCCGCACTGAATACCGAAATTAAATAGAAGCATTTACGAGTATTTTTCTGTGTCTTGCATGTTGATTATTGGTGACCGGGAAACCTTTTCTTCTAACTGCTGCCGCAAACCACCTAAATATATTATATATATTTTATAGATATTTGAAATTCTGCAACATCACGGGCCCATTTCAGCATTAATTTTGTCTACTAGATTGTTATCTCCAAACGGTATAGGTGACTTGGCTCTTTCTTACCGATACGTAGTTGTCCCTCCGACTGTACCTTTATAGAATCATCGGAATCGCTGACGAACAGGTTATTGTAATACGTTGTATTTTTTGTTCGAATTTTCCATAGTAACTACTACTGTTCTAAGGAATTCTTCGGATTATCCATTACAGCCTATAAAAGCATATTGCTGAACCTAGGCCTCCCCCATAGATTACCTTATAGAGGGGATCTTGCCATAGCTACCACGCTTGGCAGGCGGATTGGCAACCGCAATTTCTATTACTTGAAGTTGTTATCAGGAAAATGTTGCTAGCCATCCCCTATTTCAGTGTCTCTCTGTCGCATTTTACGACTCACCGTAGACATATTTACATCGCCACTACACGGTGAACATTCTGTACGATTATCTAATAATTTTCTTTGGATATTCTTACATCTTCACTACACCGTGAACATTCTGTACGATTATCTAAAATATTTTTTGTACATATTTTTACATATCCACTACATGTTGAACATTCTGTACGATTTTGTAGTAATAATCTGTGGATATTATTACATTGCCACTACACGGTGCACATTCTGTACGATTATCTAATAATTTTCTCTGGATATTCTTACATCTTCACTACACCGTGAAAATTCTGTACGATTATCTAAAATATTTTTCGTAGATATTTTTACATATTCACTACATGTTGAACATTCTGTACGATTTTGTAGTAATAATCTGTGGATATTATTACATTGCCACTACACGGTGCACATTCTGTACGATTATCTAATAATTTTCTCTGGATATTCTTACATCTTCACTACACCGTGAACATTCTGTACGATTATCTAAAATATTTTTTGTACATATTTTTACATATCCACTACATGTTGAACATTCTGTACGATTTTGTAGTAATAATATGTGGATATTATTACATTGCCACTACACGGTGCACATTCTGTACGATTATCTAATAATTTTCTCTGGATATTCTTACATCTTCACTACACCGTGAACATTCTGTACGATTATCTAATAAATTTCTGTAGATATTTTTACATATCCACTACATGTTGAACATTCTGTACGATTTTGTAGTAATAATCTGTGGATATTATTACATTGCCACTACACGGTGAACATTCTGTACGATTATCTAATAATTTTCTGTGGATGTATTTTTTTATAAAGAATAAAGGTGTCAAACGAGCACACAGTCCACCATGATAGTAAGTGAATGCTGTGGCCCATAGACATCTATATTTATCCTCAATTAAGAATGAAAATTCAGATTCATTCCTGAGGACTGAGATGGACCACCTCGTTTCCAGTAAAAAGGGACTCCGGTTTTCTACACTCACCATACAAAACACAGCAACATTAAGCTGCTATTTTACGTTGGTATTCTGTGAGAGCGTGGCCCTTTCCCGGACGAGCCGACCCATTCGTGCTGCAACCACAATATAACTGCAGCATGGTTCTACCACGTAAAAGAGGTAGTTCTTACATCTCCATTACACGGTGAATATATCGTACGATTTTGTAATAACTTTCTGTGGATATTCTTACATCACCATTACACGGTGAACATTCTGTACGATTTTCTAATAATTATCTGCCACCGACGACCAGTTTTTGAAATCAATTGCCAGCAGTTTTCGCGGCTGAAATGGCTAATAGGACTTCAATAAAAAAAACTTGACCTTCCTCAAAAGTTGGCGACACGCATCAATTTACTGCCAGTGTTATTTTCACTCGTGAACACTTACCATCTAGTGAACCGTAAGCTTACCCCCACTCTAAAAAATGTATTTTTAGTTACTTTGAACATGTTTATCAAAAAAATATTTGCAATGTAATCTACAATTAAATTTAAACACTAATATCTACGCAGAGAAATAAGCATTGTGGAAAGTTACAGTCTTACTAACAACACCCAACCTATTTCTTTATACATACCTATATAAAATTCTTCTGTACGTGTGTTTCTTTGTACTGAATTAATCCTATATGGCTGAACCATTTTTGATGAAATTGTCTTGTGTGCTTGATTATAGATGGTTTAAATTTATTATTGGACACGTTAGGTGGTGCTTTTGTTGAGATCAAGAAACCACTCGTACGAAGCCGGTTCGGATCGCTAGTATATTATAAAGCAGATAAGACATCTTGTAAACATAACGTAAAAATACAGTGGTCATTTAATTTGTTATCTGTTCGTATCAGATTAGGTACTAATCTTTGCTTTAGACGTTTATCGTGGGCAATAATCCGGATATTGACTTTATAACAAGGAAACTTAAGGAAAATCAAAAATCACATTGTCTTTTTTTTAATAGGTACATGAATCCAGTGCTATCGTGCACGTAAGGGATTAACATCTAATTTTCCCTGAATGAAGTGCACCTATTTTGATAATATCTATTAAAATAGGTGCACTTCATTCAGGCATCAGCACTGCTAAATTTATCTTCAATTCTTAAATCACCTCTAACATTTTCTCAAATTTAAATGCAACAGTTTATTATATTATGGTAGAGTACCACTAATAACAGATACCAATAATAATTAGTAGTTTTCTTTATGGCCTAGGACTCTGATTGGAAAGCTACCATTCTCTAACCGATCTTTTTTGGCAAGCAGTAGTACTCTCCACTAAAAATCACGCCACTGTAATCCACACCGAAAGGTATGGAGAGGCAGTATAATAGTTCTCAGAGTTGACAAAACGTGTATCTTCTTTATCTTCATTTAGACTAAACTAAAATGTAGGTACTAGAGAATGTGAAAATATCAATTTGAACAACTTTTAATGTCATAAGTATTTTTTTAAAGAAATCACTAGGGTTATTTACTCGTAATTGATAAATTAAATTATTTTATGATTATTTACATGACGTAATCTAAGTAAACGATAAACTTATATAACAGACACGTAAAGAATAAATTAATCACGATTAGTTATCAAGAAATTAACTATTAAGTATAATATATCAAAAAGTATTAAAAAATAGGTATTTCAGATTAAGAGATCTTTAAATAGTGTAAAAATGGATAAACACAATGTTTATTTTTGATGCTATAATGCTTTTTAATAATATTAGCGATGTACTGTTTTCCTATGCTTTCAAAGCAAATTTATTTTAAGCTCCGACCGTCAGTTTAAACAACGAATTCGTTTATATAGACGCAATGGGTTGTAATGATTTTTGCGTTAGAAAATTGTGGATAAGACTAGTTAAACACATAATTTCGCACATATTTCAGAAGAACAAGCTTTGAATTAAACATAAATTAAATATGTATAATTTTCTTCAATGATTTAATACGTCAAAATACAGATTTTAAAAGTTGATAAATTACAATTTTTAAAGCAGTTCCCTTGCACGTTCTGCTTATTATCAAAATAATTAGTTTTCATCTCTTACACTTTAAATTAAATGATACATCAATTATAATAGAATACTCCTACTTTCAAAGGAGAAGGCTATTGAGTCGAGAATTATTTTGAATAAAAAATAAAATGTTAAAAAGCTATGTCGTTAAGGGTCAGCACAGTTCCATAGCGATCGGCCGACGCGAGGCCTGCTTGTGAGGCGGGTCACTCTCGCGCATCGAACTGTAAACCTTTTGAGTCCAGCCAGCCGCGTGCCACCCTTACCCCTTTCCCATTTCCACAACTACCCATTTCACCCTCGACCCACTCCTGTAAATACCGACAGCGGACCGTGCCGCCCCAACGCCTCGCCTAATGAAAATCCAATCTATTTATTTTTACTCGCCTCGTAATAAAGTAAAGAAATATTTATTCCTGTCGTTTCTGCACACATTTCAACGATAAGGCAGGGTCATTTCATCGTAATTTTCAAATTTGTGTTGTTTTGATATGTGATTTTCAAACAAGAAGTTGAAGTGTGATAGAAAAGAAAAAAATAAGTATATTACAATATACGGATTTTTTAATAAATAAAATTTAAATTTTTTTGTATACTAAAATATTAAAAATGTATGTATATATTTACGTAGTTTTGTAGGTTTTGCCTATTAGTTTGCAATATAATATCGCGATAAAAACTTTTTGCTAGCAATATTTGGTAGCGCATGTAAAAAGGGCATAAATGTAACCATGGTTATTGCAGTTTTGAATTTTAAATATAGTAGACAGATAGCAATATATTTATTGTTACATCATTTCGTTAGACAGTTTTACAGAAAAGAGTATTTTTTTTCCCTTGAAATGGTTGTCGCAGATAACTGGGAAACAACGTAATAGGATTATTGCGAAATACGGGCTGGTGTCGATCGAGAGAAACAATTGACTAATGAAGTTGTTAATCCGATTTTGTTCGGCTTTCGATTGTCATACAATTTTTAGCTCCCATTTAGGGAGTATCTGAAAATAATTCAATATGAATTATATGCACTACGGTTTCATTTATTTTAAGAATAGTTTACTTTTTTACAGGAATTTGCAACCAGGGCAATCAAAGATGACGAAGGAAGTTTTGGAACACCTGTTGGTAATACAAGAATTTTAATAAATTAAACTTATAATAAATATATAAAATTTTAAGTATTCATTTAAAAGTAGACTAAAAGAGACACGTGTGTATGTGTGTGCGTTGCGTGTCTCTCTCTCTCTCTCTCTGTGTGTGTGTGTGTGTGTGTGTGTGTGTGTGCGAGTGTGTGTGCGCGCGTGTGTGTGTGTGTGTGTATGTGTGCGTGCATGCGTGCGTGCGTGCATGCGTGCGTGCGTGCGTTCATGCGTGCGTGCGTGCGTGCTTGCGTGCGTGCATGCGTGCGTGCGTGCGTGCGTGCGGGCCTGCCTGCGTGGCTGCGTGTGTGCGTGCGTGCGTGCGTGCGGGCCTGCCTGCGTGGCTGCATGTGTGCGTGCGTGCGTGCGTTCGTGCGTGCGTGCGTGCGTTCGTGCGGACGTGCGTGCGTGCGTGCGTGTGTGTGTATAGACTATAAAGTAAACTAAATACAACACGTGTTGGTAATGCGACAATTATAATAAATTAAGCTTATTATGTAAGTTTAGGTAGGTATATACTTATCTAAAAGAAGACTAAAAATGGTATGACCATAACTTCTAATACAATTTAAAGAGTTCTTTTTTCTTTTGAATTGACGTAAAAATTCTTTAGTTTAAAGATCCATAAGAACTACATATGGGTAATTCAAATTTTTTTTCGAACGTATGTGTCGTTTAGTTACGCAGTTTCCGCATTTATAAGGCAGCGTTAACTACTTAAATTGATTTTTATTCTATCTTATGTAGTTTAATATGTCCCAATAATTATAATTATAATATTCTATTGATAAGTACTTTATATTAATAAGTTAATATTACCACATAAAAATATGATTATTTATTACTAGTAAATTCATGTTTAATTCAACCACCGAATACCGAGAATACCGAGAGATTGACTCACTACGCCTATGCTCGTGGCTAACAAGGTTGGTTTCAACCAACTCAAGGTTACCAATAATCCTCTCAGCAGGTTTCTTCAGTGAGTGAGCAGGTCATTTTTATTCAATGTGGTGATGAAGATCTTATCTTGAAAAAACTAATTAATTTCTGACTGATGAGTTATTTGAAGAAAAATCGTAAATTACTTTCCGATAACCAATTCGGTTTTCGTCAGGCAAAGTAATTTTTTTATGCAGCTCATGCAGGGATTAACTTTGTTGCTACCAATTTAGATATACAAAATAAATGTTTTGTCATTTTTCTAGATACGGTAAAGGCATTTGATACGGTGTCGATTCCTATTCTGCTAAATAAACTTGAGTCTGTAGGCATAAGACATAAACAGTAGAATATTTTAAAGAGTTATCTTATAAATCGTATTCAAGCCAGTTGGATAATAGATTTGCACATACGTACCTATTTCTTATGGATTTCCACAGTAAAACGTTCTTGGACCAATTTTATTCCTGATTTATGATGATGAACTGTCCTGTACGTGTTCACAGACTGCAGACTTAACACGTATAGAATCGCCCTCGTCACTACATTAGATTTGATAGACCACAAATCCTCGCTAAAGAACACCGAATCCTTCCAAGGATGATTCGCGAGGCTATTGAAATCAAAAAACATCCTAATTTCAATAGAGAAGATGGATGGGTGCTACCATCTGCTTGGGATCCCATAATTAATAAAATTAAATCCCAACCCCAAGGATACAACTGCAAGACTTCAAGATACTGTAATTTCATATTGCGTAGATCGGAACAAAAATTAATAATTTTTTATCTCGAGGTTGCTGTGGTTAACTATGACATTGGGACCTCATACACCTCAGTCCCTCCCGTGACCATGGGTGCTGTAAAATGCTCGAAACGTCGGGAATATGAAATAAGTTAATATACACGATAAAGTCCGTAAAATTTGTTTTATTTAAATGTGTAGTGTTCGCGTAAATATAAGAAATCATTATTGTTTAAACGGTAATCTGATCTCCTATATTGATGATACAGTTATATTAATTTCATATTACTTGGCAGAAGGATTTTTATGCTGCACAAGCTTGTCGCTCAATCCCAATAAAGCAAAATACATTCCGTTTTCATTTGCAATTTTATAGATAAAAATAAATGTTCCTATCGCAAATTAGAACGTATTGAAGAAATAAACTTGGAGGTAATTTCAGATTCTCAGTTAAATTTAAAAACAAATGTTGAATTGCTGAGTAAAATACGTAGTAAAATACGTAGTACGGAAATTAATAATAATCTTTAAAACACTTAAACATACTGCAGAATTCAAAGTTATAAAGCAAATTTACTTTGCACTCTAACTAACTACTGTTAATTACTGATATCGGTATATGCAATAGCATTACTTATTGTACGAACGTACGAAAAACGAACGTATATACGTACGAACAGTACAAAAAATGAGCACTTTTTGACCTTTCTTATTCCCAACTGTGCTCCTGTTTGAAAATTGTAAATTCTTTACCGTTAGGCAACTGTTTATTTCAGGTATAATTATGAAACAAGATAGAGAAGTGATTTTTGATCCTCAAAAAGTTATAAACTATAGTCAGATTCGGAAATTTTATGGTCCTTTTGTGTATAACAAAGTTAATAAAAATATTCCTAATATAAAATAAGAGCTTTTTTAGTGACTAGGATATGATGAAACGGAAAATCTTTTGACGGTGAAGCTTTGAGTTTTTATAGCCTGTGCTCGAAATTTTATTGATACGTAATTTAAGATATTCTTTCAAAATGTATTCTTCATCTCGTCCCATTTACAATAGATGATATTTTACATAATTTTTTTTTATACTTGAAATTAATATGAAAAATAAAATTTGTAATTTTTAGGGTTCCGTACCTTAAAAGGGAAAAACGTAACACTTATAGTATAACTTTGTTGTCCGTCTGTCTGTCTGTCAAGACCCTTGCTGCAAATTTTCGACATTCGCAAGGGAATCAAAACCTGCAGGGTACTTCCCGTGAACTCAGAATCTTGATATTTGGTACGAAGCAACGTTTTATAGTACAGATAAAGGAAAAATTGCGAAAAGCATAAATTTTTAGTTACATCATATAATAAAAATATTTTTAATAATGTTAAACTTATATACCTACAGATTTGTTCGGAACCCTCGGTGCGCGACTCCGACTCGCACTTTGCCGGTTTTTTTATCATAATATAAGTAAATAATTTATGTTTATTATGTGTGAGGTGTGATGCCACAATTATGCTGAAATAAAGGTTTTAGCCTTATTTGGCGATTGATGTTATTTTGCATGTTTTAGATAAAAATTTATTGTACAGTATATAAATAGATACATTGTTAACTGATAACATCGAAAAAAGTTTATAAAGATTAAAAGACTATAGCTGCTTTAACCTTAGACTCAGTGAAGCGCCCATTGGTGAAGTTAGCAAAAACCTCAACCACTAACAATTTAATTTACCGTCGTTATATAGGACGTATCCTAAACCGATCTCTGTAACTTAAGAGTCCAGATACGTTGATGGATGACACAGAAATGACATAAATTTTGGAGTACACTCCAATCGTAAAATTTATAGATAGTAAATATTTTACGATTGAAAAGCACAACAAGAAGCAAAATGACAAAGTGAATTTGTAAAAAAAGGCCTATTTATTATTGGAAAGTTTAACAAGGTAATTTTTATGCATCGAGAGGAGATAAGGAGTAAAATTTTGGCCAAAGTTTATGGAAATATTGTCATGGTTCTTCTAAAAGACTTCGTCTGCTCTTGGCTAAAAGACACGAACTACCTGGCTCAAGCCTAGCTTAAAAACAATGTTCTGAACTTCATAAGAGATGTGTTCATAAGAACCTCCGGGTTGCAAATTGTGGTTAGTACTAGAGAACTTAACCTACTTAAAATGTTACTCTGTCATTGATATTCGTTTTCACAAACAATACGGTTACGAAGTTATAACCTCACAATGCGTTCGAACGCACAATGTACAGAAAACCTAATCATAAGCAATACTTGAGGAATGAGCGATACTTAAGCGTTCATGGTAATGAACACGCTAGCTACTTTGTGCAACGCATTATGCAACTAATCAACACAAAATGTCGAACTAGTAACAGTTTGTTTTATTGATTGTCTCCGTGATTTGAATTTAATTCTCATTATATATTTTATTCATAAGAAAATAAATCTAAAAAGAGCGATCAACGCAAGAAACTTGATACGTAACTGTCAAAATCCTTTCAATTATTTATTACAGTGGCGATGAATTCGAAAATCGCTATAGATTTTTAAGAGATATCTTTATGAAACTGCAAATAGTTTGTAAATCACTGGGCTTAATGAAGCAAAAATAAGCAAATTATTTTTGACGTTTATTTATTTGTCAATTCGGGTGTAGTCGCATTAAAATATTAGCTAATATCACAACACCCCATTCAATGATACGTGTACGCACAACAAGAAGTCCTTTTAATATTGACGTTTGTTTATATGCAAACAATTCGCGTGTAGTCGCATGAAAATGTTAACCAATAAATATCACATCACCCCATTCAATGATATGTGTACATACAACAAGAGGTCCTTTTAATATTGTTTAGGAAATAAATGGCTTACCAATAATGAATGCATTGAGCAACATCTTGACTTATTATGGCATTGATCCCAAACCTATGAAAGTAAATTCGTGACTGAATAAATAAAATAGTTAGCAAACTTAGTTCTGCAGCATATGCTGCAAAAAGATTGTGCAGCATATGCTGTAAAAATATTAGAGGCCTTACTCGTCCATGTGTGTTTAAACAGTTAGATTAATTAATTTTAGTTATATCCATAGTGTTATACGTGATAAGAGCCATGCTGCAGCTATATTACTAGTATAGTTGTAGCACGAATTGGTCGGCTCCACCGGGGAAGGACCACGCTCTCACAGAATACCAGCGTAAAATAGCAGCTTAACAATGCTATGTTTCGTATGGTGAGTGTAGAGAACCGGGGACCCTTTTTACTGGAAAAGAGGCATTCCATCTTAGTCTTCACGGGTGATAACGCATCTGTTATTGAGGATAGAGGTAGAAGTCTATGGGTCACAGCAACCACAATGACATATGGTATCTTGTTATGGGCCAATGCAACTAACATAATATGAAAACATTGAGGTTTTGCAGAAGAGAGCGATAAGATCAATTTATAATCTAGGTCCAAAGGAGTCTTAGAAAAACATTTAAAGAAATATATATTTAATATTAACTTTGGCCTCTCAGTAAATTTACGAAAATTTTATTAATGTATGTATACAAAAAAAATAGTAATACTTAAAATTGTGATATAAATTCTTTGAATATTACACTTTTACAACGAAGTCCCATATAATATTTTATATAATATTGCTGTTTATAAATTTTTTCACGCTTAACTGTATAAAATATCATAATCTAAATTGATGTTAGTAAAAATATTTTGGGTTTAATAAAATATTTAAGGTTTCTTGCTAGTTTTTCCCAGGACAGAGGTAGGTCCGAACCAGTAGTAAAACTTAAATGGCTTTCAATATGTATGCTTTTAATCTATATTGAATATAATATATTATATGTTAAAATAAAATAGTTAATAATTATTCGCTTAGACTCCGATACAGATTGTAGAATAATATAATCAGAGATTTCTTTAAAAAAATATGTTTTTAATGTGTAATGGAACTTATGGCCATAAATAATACGAGTAGCTATTTCATGTGAAACATCAAGCAACATTATTTTTATAGAAATAATTTAATCAACATTAATATAAACTTTCTGTGTTCAATTTCATTACTCCCTTAGGGAAAAGCCGCTAGAATCCATTCTTTATAAACGCTTTTTCCTCAACTAATATAATTTTAATAATGTTATTTTCCGAATTTCCAGGAGACCGAAACAGCCCTAATCCTTTATTCTTCAATGGAAATATACGTAGTAATGGAGATTTAAAATCACTGAGTAAGTAGTGTGAATTTTTATGATAAATAATGAACACGTTTCATCATTCCTGGTACGATTAAAACTAGGTATAAACAAAATACTAAATATAAATCGTTGGAGTAATTAAAAAAGAGTGGAGTTCTGCTATGTAGTGGTGGCGTTAGAGATTCCTTCATAATATTATCCCATGGATAACGTAAGAGGCGATCTAAGGAAATTAAACAGGAGATGGGCGGCCGCATCTTCCTGATAATAACCCGCTTTACATGTGTGTTAGCTGTGGCACACATCCCTCTTATGAGGCAGAGCTCGCTGTAGAGGAGACTTAGTTCAATTTTCTTCAGACTTGTTGAAATTTAGAGAATCACTTTGAAAGTGTCGGATAATAAAATCAACTTGAACGGTTTACTTATTTCAGATATGTCGTTATATATATATATATATATATATATATATATATATATATATATATTTAAAATAAAAATATTGTTGAATTATATTTAACCGCCTTTTTATTATATTGTTATTGCCTTCTGGCACAAATATTTAAAAGTTCAATTGGTCATCAAGTGAATATATTAGGTCCTTACATATGAAATTGGCGTTTTGTACGGGATGAATATAAAGTCAATTTTTTTTTGTAAAATATATTTAATTAATCAAAGTATGCAGCGTTGTTATCTATGCACTTTTGCCGTCTCATAGATAGTTCATTGATCTCTTTACTAAAAAACCATGGGGCGAGAATCAATAAACTCTTTGAAGGCGATTTGGACTGCCGCAGTGCAGAGTTGAATTTTTTTCCTTGTAAGAATTTGTCCAAATTCCGGAAAAAATGGTAATCTGTTGGAGCAAGATCTGGGCAGTACGGTGGATGCCGCAGACATTCCAATTGTAGCTCATCTAACTTAGTGGTTGTTTGTTGTGCAGTGTATGGTCTTGCGTTGTCGTGAAGCAGCAGTGGCCTAAACCCATCGACCAATCTCAGTTGTTTTGCGGCTAGGTCTTCCTTCATTGTTTGCAGTTGCTGACAATAGATATCTGCCGTAATCTTGGATTTTAGAAAGTTGTAGTGAACGACACCGGCGCTAGTCCACCAAACACTCACAAGTAACCTTTTCTGAGTCAATTTTCGTTTAGTGAGTGCTTCCGATTATCGTACAGTATCCACTTTTCATCACAATTAATGGTTCTATTTAAAATCCCTTCATTATTGTGTTAGTTGAGCAAAGTAACACAGCAGTCGACGCGTGTTTGCAAGTGCGATTTACTCAATTCATGAGGTACCCATCGTTCAAGTTTTTTTACTTTCCCTATTTGCTTCAAGTGGATTGATACAGTTTTATCACTTACCCCGAAGCCTGCAGCTATCTCTGAAGTGCTTTGTGATGGATCCGCTTCCACAATAGCCTTTAATTTTTCATTTTCCACTTTAGTCTCCGGCCGTCCACGGGGTTGGTTCTGAAGGTGGAAATTTCCATAACGAAAACGTTGAAACCAAAAACGTACCGTGCTTTCTTTCGCGACACCAGCGCTGTACTCGTCATTAATCCTTCGAGCTGTTTCTGCAGCACTGATGCCACGGTAGAACTCTTATTCGTAAATACACCGATATTTCGTGTTTTCCATTGTGCGGTAATAAACGACGCCAAAGAAAAAAATAATGAGGAAAAAACCAATGAATGACAGTTATTGACTAAATTTGAATTTGGAATTCTTAACCAAAGAGGAGATATTTCAGATCAAAGTGGTCAGTACGACAAAACGCTAATTTCATATGTAAAGACGTAATATAACTATTATATGTACATATATTATAACGATGCAATGTCTGGCTGAGTTTTATTTACTATCATTTTTTTTTCTGTCAGTCGTGCAAGCATGTTATTGTTGTTTACATTATTTGAGAAAGTAATAGCATAGCACTTAATGCTGCAACGATTTCATTGGTGCTGTCTAGAGTGATCGGATTTAGACATGCTTACTAAAACTGTAGCAGAGTGCCCTTGAACTACCATCGCATTGGTCAACGTGGCGAATTCCTTGGACCTGCTGAGTAGAGGCCTTATAAGGAAAGCAGCCCTTTATTCAGGGGAGGGGACGTCTGTAGGTCGTCACTTCCTGAATGTTGCATATTGCAGCGTCGCCTCTATCCATCTCTCGCTTGGTGTACTGTCAATGTCCTTACTCCCGTCAGTAACCGCCGCAAAAAGAACACTTTTTACGGTTTTGCCCATTTTGCTTTTAACTTTCTAACACTTTAAGGGTTCAATATTTGCTTGTAATTTATTACTAATTAATTAATATTACTAAACTACCTACTATATATATCTTTATATATAATAATTCGTGTCACGTTGACTAAACTACTAAAGTGATTGCAATGAAATTTTGAAAACTGCACACACTGTTTGGTCTGACTTGAGAGATAGGATAGTTTTTATCCCTATAAGTGACCCTCAATATTTTTTATTACGAATTTAAGAATATTTATAGGACACGGGGTCGTCGGAGAGAGCAGAACAACATCTACCTGGCCAGCTAGTATATATATAGTTTGTAGATGGATTTGCAACCCTAATATAATATTATTCAATTAATAGTTTGATTATAAAATTCGGTTTATAGTCGGTTTAGAGAGCTGTGGGTTCGAGTCTAACATGAAACAAGTATTTGTATATCCTACAAATATTTGTTCCGTGTCTGGATGTTTGTCCTTATGTAATATATGTATATGAACTGCCTCCACGATACAGAAGAATGTCCTAGAATGCAGTTAACGTTTTTAAAAAAATTGTAACTAATATGACCTTTTATTTTTATTGATATATAATATCGTCATTTGTAACATAACCATATGATTATCTATATATTAATAGAATCAAGCGTTTCTTTACAAAAATCCATAACATTAAAGATGTTAAGAATTAATTAGTTAGGATTCGCGTAAAAAAAATGTTGCGTCTCACCTAGTTTGAAGAGCACGACAACATTAGGAAAGCATCGATAGTACGAGAATAAGTCACTTCGCGGTTAACCACAGCAGAGTCTACTTCAACTGAAAATGCTTCGTTTAGAGGAAAAATACGTAGTATATTATCGACGGTGGTGTGTCTTCCCTAGTGTAGTGGCTATGATTAGTGGTGACGGGGATAGTGCACGCAATCGAGGGAGGGCGCGAGGTGCTCTTTACCCTAGGTAAGACACATCATTTTATTTTATTAAGTTAAGATCTTAGTTAATTACGATATATCATTGTTTAGCGCTGTTTTTAGTAACATGTATGGTGACAGTACGGGCTCGATATGCCGCCATTTCCAATCTCATATTTTATCCGCACGGGTAGTACTGTGACATAAAATTAAAATTGATTCCAGATAACTACCGTATATACTTGGCGAATGATATGCGGGGTGGCACAACTCCCCGAAAGCGCTCTGTCACTACCATGGATGCGCAGTCTTTACGTTCTGTGGAGACTCAGGCACCGCCGCCAACTAATCCAGAGGACAACAAACGTCTCACTGCGTAAGACAAACTTTTGGATGCAATTGCCCAGTAATCATTTAGTCTTATTTTATACATTTAAGACCTTCTTGTAGTGGAGGGATCATTATCAGGCGACTCATTATTTGGTTGACTTCGGTGGCATTTAAAAAAAATATAAATATATAAATTATATAGGCTTTACTAACATGAAATATCAATTCCAGAGTTAATTTAAAACATATTAGTAGTAAAGGGAATCGTATAGACCATATGGTTAAGAAAGGATTAAATTTTTTGAAATGGTGTCCATTGAAATATATATTTTTATCACCGAAATCAAATATTGAAAATAATTTATATTTCAAAGACTTTTTTTAGGTATATTTACTGCCAAAGTACTACTACGAACTTATGGTCTGTAAAGAATTGCATCCATTTTTATAAAATATTTCTATTTATATTAGCACAAAAACTTACAAAAATTTACTTTGGTAGGAAGCGCTAAATTATTATATTAAATATAATTAAAAATCAGAAGTCTTGGTTGAGCTATCTAGCTTAATCACAGACAATTTACTTATTGATAAAAAATCACTACAAAAATCACTTAAAAATCAATATTTTCAACAACATCAACAATTATAGAAAGCACTTACATAACTAATAGAATTTGTATTTTTAATAAAGGTATTACTTTGTCTGTTGATTTTAACACAATTAAATGAGTTTTTAGGTATATAAAGCACGCAGCATTAAATTAACATTGTAATAAACTTCTTGTAAAAACTTTCTATTACAGTTTTTAATCCTAAATTAAAAATGTTATGTTTCTCGTCACTACTTTTTTTACAATTTACAATTTGGAGACTACTTCATTCATTACTGTCGGTGCCATATTTTCACACTTTATTTATATTAGCACAAAAACTTACAAAAATTTACTTTGGTAGGAAGCGTTAAATTATTATATTAAATATAATTAAAAATTAGAAGTCTTGGTTGAGCTAGCTTAATCACAGACAATTTACTTATTGATAAAAAATCACTACAAAAATCACTTAAAAATCAATATTTTCAACAACATCAACAATTATAGAAAGCACTTACATAACTAATAGAATTTGTATTTTTAATAAAAGTATTACTATGTCAATTGATTTTAACACAATTAAATGAGTTTTTAGGTATATAAAGCACGCAGCATTAAATTAACATTGTAATAAACTTCTTGTAAAAACTTTCTAGTACAGTTTTAATCCTAAATTAAAAATATTATGTTTCTCGTCACTACTTTTTTTACAATTTACAATTTGGAGACTACTTCATTCATTACTGTCGGTGCAATATTTTCACACTCTGTTAACACACGTGTCCAGGAGCTGTCACTTTCATGTAATCCAATGTCTGATGTTAAGGTACGGGACAGGCACTGCTCGGTTTCATAGAACTCATCAGCAAGATCTACAGTATAGCTACTACCAGGTTGAATTAGAATATTCGATAAAATTTGAGGTTAATTGGATGTAATGCACTAACTCCACTCCCTTTTTTGGCTTGACTTGACTTTTAATCAGATTGAACTTGTCACTCTTGTTCTTGTTCGTTCTATCAGTCAACAGTCTATCAGTTTGCTCGTCTATGTTATATAATCCTACATGATACCCATGTTCACACGACACTGAATTATTTTAACAGTCACCTTCGGCGCAACTCATTTTTCTCATTAATAGTTTTGTGGTCTTATTGGCATTCCATACTGCCTGATATCCTTTCATAGGAAGAAAAACCAGAGATGTGTGTTCAACATGTTCATACACTGCAAACTTCCACTACTTCTTCTACTTCAAGATACTATAAGCTCATTCTGCGTAGATCGGACTAAAAATTAATATTCAAAAACTGAAGGCTAACTAAGACATCGGGACGTCAAACACCTCAGTCACCTCCGTGGCCATGGGTGCTGTAAAGCACCCGAAACGTTGGGAATTAAAAAGTTAAATTAAACGCGATAAAATACGTAAAAATTAATTTCATTTAATCCTTTGGTTGATACGCAAAAGAGTTTGTGCAGGTATAAATGCAGGTATGTTTTTCTCATTAAAGTGACAAACAAGCTAACAGCTCATTCGATGGTGAACAACTTCTACAGCCTGTGATGCCTGTAGCCAATTATTCTAAAAGGAGGCTACATTGAGGTTGTTAACTTCTGATGATACTGATTCTCCATAACCTGCTAAAACGCAAAATTAAGTGAAATTACTGTTGCTTGGCGGCGCAAACGAGTAAGAAAGTGGTACCTACTCTGAAGGACTTCTAAGCAGACAAGAGGTTCCGCCCAGTGTCATAATCATCATCTAATGCCGCCCGTTAACTTTATTATATTTTCTTTTCAATATTAGTATTCAATTACCGAAACGAGAACCAATAATCGTACATGTACAAAATATTCATATGTGGAATTTATATTTCAGAAAATATATGGCCTTGATTTTAAGTGGTATATATGCCATACTGCTTATAACTTTGGGTCTGTTAATCTACCTAGGTGATATATTTGTGCAAACCGCAATTGGTTCGGTAATTACATTCTAATTATATATATAATTCTTTTACGTAAAATACTAATGTTTTAATATATTATATTATAGTTAATTCAATTATTTCCTTTCAGATTTACTCAATTATACTAACAGTCATAGGTTTCGGGTATCTCCTATATTTATTATTTGACATAAATAGATATAAGAGTGTTATGCTAAAGAACAAAAAAATTAAAGAATTACATCAAGAAAGAATCTCTGAATACTGCAGAAAACGTGAAGTACGTATATTTAACTGATATTGTTACTGTGAACTACCGTGGTTAACGTTTACAGGAAGGATCCATCTCACACACACACATTTAAAGAAGAAGAAGGAGTGATGTAAAGAATGAATCTATAATTTGTAGATTAATAGTATTATTACCTGTGAGACGATAAGATATCACAACAATCCATCTTGTCATGTTATAATAATTCCAGGAAATTTTTATTTAACTCGTGAAGAAATCGAATGAAGCTTCAGTCTTTATCAGATTTGACAACATACAGGCAACTGAACGCGTGCGGCGGGACTAACGCATCTTTAATAGAGCTCGTATTGAAGAAGCGATCAGAACCGACAACCGATGGGGAAGAAAGGTTCTTAAGTGGCAGCTTCGTGCCGGCAGGTGAAGTGTAGGACATCGCCCCACTAGATGAAGTGACGACCTAGTAAGACATGCTGGAAGTTGATGGATGCAGGTGGCTCAAAACTGTGCTTTGTGGCATTCTCTGGGGGAGGCCTATGTTCAGCAATGGACTTGTGAAAGGCTACAATGATGATGAAGAAAAGCAATGTCTAGAGTGTGAGAGGTATTTTTTATTCAAGTAAGGGAGATAAACAAGCACACTGTTCACCTGACGGTAATGCTCATGGACATCTACATCTAACCTCGATTAAGAATTATAATGCAGTTACCTTGTCACCTCTGAAGACGAAAGTATGCCTATAAGCAATTAACAGTCTCCGATACGCATGATCTTTTCCGACCAAACTGTCCATACTGTAGCCATAATACAGCTACGATACGACTTACAGACTTCCTGCCTATCCGTTATAATTACAGCCTATCAAAAGTCACTGCCGTACATGGCCTCATGGCAACCTATGGTGGTAGGCTTATGAGCTGTCGTGCCACGTTACGGTTTTGGTTGGCGACGGAACGGTCTAGTGGGCGTTGTTGCATATCTATAATATAAAAATGAATCGCTGAATATGTTGCTAAGCGCAATTCTCGAGAGTAGCTGAACCGATTTCGCTAACTCTTTTTTTATAATATTTTTTGAAGTACGAAGATGGTTCTTTCGGAGAGAAAAATTTGAAAAATTGTCTGAAAAAGTCTAAAAGCAACACTTTTCTATATTCCAATACAAAAGATTCGTAATAATAATTAAAAGTCAATTCGAACTTTCATACCATACATTAAGTTTAAGTGTTGGTGGAGGGGTTTCGGAAAGGCAAAACAATTGAGTGACGTTAGTATCGTATAAATATTAATGTCAATATTTGTCAATATTTATGCACACAGCTGATGCTATAAGGACTAACTAGGGCTGCTTTTAGTTTAAGGTTTTGCGAAAAATAACTCCACGCGGGCGAAGTCGCGGGGAACATCTAGTTAATTAATAAAAGTATTTTTCCACGAACCATTCCGACTAATTTCGATACGCCCCCCCACCCCCTCCAATAGCTCAAAAACTATTAAACTTAGCCCTCTAAGAGGGGATATTTACCATAGATGCCACGCTTGGTAGGCGGGTTGTCAACCTCAGTTTTTTTAGTTGTTATAAGGAAAATGTTATACTCACGATATGGGGTAGGGGATATTCTTACTCCGCCCCTACGCAGTGATCCTACCTGTCAATGATGAATTGTTCCAACTTGAGAAAGACAACTTTATGTATAACCTAAATATAATCATTAAAGATCGCGCCAAAATATTAGTATTAACAGCCATTTATACTTTTTAAGCGACTAAGATTTTCGTCATATTCAGCAATATCATCACAACTGCAAGTCCAATGCTGGACAAAATTCTCCCCAAATATTTGTGCGGTCACTGGCTACCTACATATATTATTAACTCCATGCACTTACTGGACTGTTGCCCTATGCTTGCCAGTACAAGGCTGTTTCTCTCAGTTTTCTTTGTCCTTGTAAGTTAATCTACATAATATACTGATTATTTTGGCCACTTCGACTTATTAAACCAGTTTGGATGTTATCTATATTGCGTTTAATTCGTTAGACTTTTTGGTTAAAATTGCATTAACCTAGTCGAACATTTTGTCCATATATTCACGTTTCAGCAGTGTTCCGAGCAACTAGCAGTATGTGTGTGACTTCAAAGTTAAACCATACCAAATCCTACCCCATTGCAGACAATATTGAAATCTTTGAACACGGTTCAAATGAGCCTTATGATTCTACCAAAAGTAACTTTTAATGAATAAATATTTTTTTAAGGAATTTGGAACCATTGGATCAGATGACCGTACACCCGAAAGCTACAGATCAATTGCAATGCCGCCTGCTTCGCTTATTCCTTTGAATCATGATTATTGTTTTAGTCAAGGTCGACATTCGGGCAGCTTTTACCTTAAAATGGGTGCTGCTGGTAAGAAATACTTAATTTTTAATTATCATTATTGTATTATATTATGTCCACAAATTCAACGTCAACAAAATTTATTTTCAACTATAGTGTCCTCGCCGACGACATTCCAATTTTTTCTGGGTATAACACATTTTTGTAAATTTATGTAAATATCTGGAAACAAAATAAAAGTAAGGTTTTTTCAATGTATGCACGAAATTTAAATGTTTACACTAAGTTCTGATTAGTCGCCTTTACACATAAGCTCTTTATCGCGTGAATCGCCTTTTGACGTGAAAGAGCGTGTATGTAAAAATAGAAATGGAGAACGAGAATGCACGCGCGCCATCCGCTCGCGTATTCCCTCATACCTCAGGCACAGTTTATGTAGAACATACATTCAGTCGTCGCGTTTGATATTGTCGGAAAAGCCGACATCTATACAAATAAATAAAATTGAAGTGTCTGTTTGTAATGTCAAAATTACAGCTTTTCACTAAATGCATATGAAAGTAAATACGGTACTTATAACTAAAATACAATTTTTAAAATTTTTGTCTGTCTGTCTGTTTGTTCCGACTAATCTCCAAAACGGCTGGACCGATTCTGACGGGACTTTCACTAGCAGATAGCTGATTTCATAAGAAGTAACTTAGGCTACTTTTATTTTAGAAAAAGATATAGGGTTCCGCGCAAAAAGATAAAATCCCTAATACACGAGCGAAATCGCGGGGAGCAGCTAGTAAACAATAAATTGCGAGGGTTGTCAAAACGGGACAAACATTGACTTTTTAAACTAATTAATGTGTATACGAGGGTGGATTGAAAAGTACTCGGCCTAACCAAGAAAATAAGCACATACTAAATCAGTTATATTTTTATTTTTCTACATAATCACCATCAAGTTCAATACACTTTTGCCTCCTCCCCTTCCAAGCATTTAGACCGTTGAAAAAAAATGATTCTTCCTTAGAGTCAAAATATGCGTCTACAGCTGCTTTGACCTCGTCGTTTGTCGAAAATCTTTGACCTCCCAAGTGCTTTTTTAGGTTAGGGAACAGAAAGAAGTCTGATGGTGCCAGATCAGGTGAATACGGCGGATGCGGTAAGAGTTCAAAGCCACAGTTGTGAATTTCAGCCATTGACTGTACTGACGTGTGAACACGGGCGTTATCTTGATGAAACAGGACTTTTCTTCTGAGCATTCCTCGACGTTTTTCTTTTATTTCCTCTCGTAAACGACGTAGTAAGGTGCAGTAGTAATCAGAGTTTATATTCTGACCCCTTTCAAGATAATCAATCATAATCACACCTTTCGAGTCCCAGAATACTGAAGCCATCACCTTATTTGCCGACAAAATCGACTTAGACTTTTTAGGGGGTGGTGAACCAGGTCTTCTCCACTGTTTTGATTGTTGTTTTGTTTCCGGTGTACAGTAATGAACCCATGTTTCGTCCATAGTAACAAAACGATTCAAAAAATCATTTGCATCGGCTTCAAATAACTCCAAACAGTCGCGTGAAATAGTCAATCGCGTCCTTTTTTGTTCAACTGAAAGCAGTCGCGGAACCCACCTCGCAGACACCTTGTGGAAACCCAACTCGTTGACAATGATGTTTTGAGTTCGTTCATAAGAGATGCCTATAATCTCGGCTATCTCTCTAATTTTTAATCTGCGGTCTCCCATTATTAAATCAAGTACTTTTTTAATATTTTCGTCAGTAGTTGACATCGAAGGCCTTCCAGAGCGGGGTTCATCTTTCACACTCTCTGTACCACGCTTAAATTCTGCTATCCATTTTTTGACGGATGAATATGACAGAACACAATCGCCTAATGTACTGACCATGTCATCATGGATGGCTTTTGATGATAGCCCCTTCTTATGGAGGTACTTAAAGACGGCACGCTGCTCGATTTGCTCCATTCGCGGAAATTATGTCCGATTACTTTGTTAATAAATTAATAAAATCACAACTAATTATCGCACACGTTTCGAACTTCACACAATGAACTAGTCTGAACTGAAGTAAATAATGTGGATGTGTTAGGCCGAGTACTTTTCAATCCACCCTCGTATGTAAACCGATGAAACTAATTCCTTATCTTTAAATGAGGACTCGCCCGGTCGCTAACCGGCACGATTGGGCCACCCTAGGATTTTTCGCCAGTTGGCGGGGCAGCCTTTCGTGAGTAGCTTACTTACTTACTTATCTTCACGCACAATCCCTGACGGGGTAGCCAGAGAGAACAGATCGCCAAGTGTCACGATCCTTACAAACCTCTTTCGCTTCTTTCAGATTCATTATCTTCTTCATGCATGCACGTCTAGGTATCCGAGTACTTTTGACCCTACCCTCTTCGAGCAATTTGCTCACATGGTCTTCGAAAGTTAGTCTCGGTCTACCTCGACACCTTTTAATATTAACTTTCGCGCTATATATTTTCTTCACCATTCGGTCTTCACTCATTCGCGCAACGTGCCCAAACCACCGAAGCACGCCCTTATCAATTTTTGTGATAAGGTCATCTTTCAAACCTGCCATATTGCGATCTCTTCGTTTCCATGGTAACGCCGCACATTTTACGAAGAGATCGCATCTCCACTGCATTCAACTTACTTTTATGCTTCTTCTGGCATACCCAGGTTTCGCTGCCATATAACAAAGTCGGTACCAACACTGCGTTATGTATTGCAAGGCGTGCACTCTTCGCTACGCCTTGCCTTTTGACTAACGCAGTCAGGGCACCATTGACTTTGTTCCCGGCAGCGACACGCCTGTCCACATCTAAATCACATCTTCCATCCCGGCTAAAAGCACTCCCCAAGTATACAATTTCATTTACCTGTTCTAGACATTCCTGATTTACCCATATTTCACACTTCGTTCTCTCTTCGTCCCTTTCAAATACCAGAACCTTAGTTTTATTAGCATTCAAACGGAGACCTTTAATTTCACATTCCTCTTTCATACACGTGACTAATGCCTGCAGTTCTGCCTCTGATGGTGCAATAAGCACTGCATCATCAGCATACAGCAGACAATTTACTTTAATGTCACCCAATTTCACACCCAAAACAACTATCTTTCAGCTTCTGTAAACAGCTGTCGAGATACAGTATGAACAGCCAGGAAGACATGACACAACCCTGCTTTACGCCCGTTTGGACGTTAAACATGGGTGACAGGTCATGCCCTACCCGCACACAGGCTTTACAGTCACAGTAAAGAGACTGCACAGCCCTTAGCAATCGACCATCCACACCATACCCCGGCAACAGTTCTCACATTTAGTAGCTAATTCACTAATTGGGCCCACAACTACCTGCGGTCGGCCAGCGGAGCACCGTGCTTCGGATCCCGCTACCCTCCACGACCAAGCATCCGACACAGCAACAACTGGCGCTTCGTACCCGGTGTACATACACATTTTTAAACGTGGTAGAGCCATGCTGCAGCTATATTAGTGGTATAGTTGTAGCACGAATGGGTCGGCTCGACCGGGGAAGGACCACGCTCTCACAGAAAACCAGCGTTTTTACCCTATTTTTAGCAGCTTAACGCTGCTGTGTTTCGTATGGTGAGTGTGGAGAACCGGAGACCCTTTTTACTGGCAAGGAGGCATTCCATCTTATTCCTCACGGGTGACGAAGCATCTGCATCTTGAGTCTTTATTGAGGATAGATGTAGATGTCTATGGGTCACAGTAACCACTTACCATCAGGTGAACTGTGTGCTCGTTTGTCAACCTATCTTATAAAAAAAACAACGCTACTGTTCAGACCCATTCTCCATATGGCTTCACCAAGCATCATGCCGGAACATGACAACGTCATTTTGCGGCAAGACTTTGCATTGGTGGGTGGTAACCGAAAAGCCAGCGGCTGAAACCTACCACCGGAATCGGTGCTGCTCGTTTAGCACTACCAGGTGTCAGATTTCAAATATTTCGACGCGAGCAGCCTCGTCCCCCACATTTTTATTATCATTATTTGAATATTTTGATTATTTTTAGTACTTATCTATACTAAAATAATAAAGCGGAAGAGTTTATTGTTTTTTTTTGTTTACACACGCTAATCTATGGAACTACTAGTCCGATTTGAAAAATCGTTTTTGTATGTTATAGAAAAATTCATGAAAAATAGTATAGGTTATCTAGAATCAGGCTACCTCTTAGCTAGCCTTAAATATTAATTTTTGTTAAGCAAGTCAAAAGAAAAAAAATGATTTATCCGCATGCGCTAGCGTAATGGTTACTGACACGTAAATACAATATTCTACAAAAATATAGACCTTTACTCCATCTAAAAAAAGTCTGCGATACAATATGTCTCTTTCTTATAGATAATCCACAATAAGGTATTTTGTGACAAAAAATATTGAAAATTAAGAACTGACAGACACACTGGTGCCCTCCTGGCACGGGTTCTATTCGTACTCTTTCTGTGTTTCTATACTCGTATGGTGTGTGTAATGTTACACTGTGATTTAATAAGACAAAGAAAATGTAGTTTAAATTAATTTAACAATTTTTTTTCAGGTTTTGCTCTGGGCCACCTTGTACATTCGGTCTTACTGATAACTTTACAAATAAAGTATTTCATAGACGAAGATATTAATAATCAAGACTGTATAGATATATTTCAACTAGTACTTGATGTTTTGAATCCCATATATTCATTCATGCAGCTTTATTTCATTTTTAAATATTCTAATGTAATTATTTTACGGGGACAGGTAATATCAAAATTTATTACCTAGATAAATTGATTGATTACTAGTTTCTCCAACCTGTATTTGTATTCTTTTTTTCTAATTGTCTGGAAACAGGGCTTGGCGTATTTCGGTTTTATGCATATGATTGGCAGTAGTCTTTGCTTTTGGATTTCGACCATTGTGCGCGAAACTATATTGGCATTGACTTTGTATGCAAATTCTAAATATGGAAATTCAACATATGCTAATGAAACCAGACTTAACGACGTAACAGGTATTAAAATTTACTGCTGCAACTTCCGATAAAAAACAACATCTAAAAATTGTGATGTTATTTTGGTTAACTTTTTTTTCAGAAATCAACGCTAAAACTCGAATTTTCGATGTCAGTAATCTTTATGATGAACATTGTCAGAGTTCGGCATCTATTATATCTGTATTTGAAAACTTATCACCATACTTGTACCCATTTAGCGTAGAATTCAATATCTTCATAGGTAAATATTTTTTTTAATAATCGTTACAAAATTAAAAATGCAGCATTTAATTATGTATTTTCTCTTTTAGTCGCTGTATACTACATAATTTGGAAGAACATCGGAAATTGCAATAATGATGCAGATAATATTGAAACTGATTCCAGCTTAGACGAAAACAACTCTTCGTGCAAGTTGGTAACTTTTTTAATTATAATAATATATGTGTAAGAAACACATTATTAAAACGTACCCTTATTTCAGAATACCGACAGCAAGTGCAGAAAACGATTTTACAAGCAATATGGTAATTTATGCCGACTGTCACGCTTCGAACCGTGGGCTATTCGTGGGATTGGTTCTAATTGTTATATTAATTGGAATGCTCATTATAGGATTTGTATTCAGCAGCGTCGGCGAGTAAGTATCTTGAATTTTTTAACCTAAATGTTTCACAAATAAAATGTGATTAGCTAAAAATTTCAAACATTTTTAACAAATGGTTTAGCCAGAACTCTAGGCAACTTTTTTGAATCCCTGTCAATCATCAAATTGCAATATTTTCAGAAATATTAATGAATGCCATATTTAGTGATTTTCAGTCCAGTAAGATATCACCATCATCATCATCATCATTATAGCATATCATAAGTCGACTGATGAATATTGGCCTCTTCCAATATATCATCATCATCATCATCATTATAGCATATCATAAGTCTGCCTACTGACGAATATAGGCCTCTCGCAAGGAATGCCACAAAACACGGTCCTGAGCGACAGGACATCAACTTCTGGCATTTCATACTATTCGGTTACTCCATGTTAAGGGGGGCCATGCTACATTTCGGTTACAGGTAGGAGACTGCCATTCGAGAACCTTTCTTTCCATTTGTTATCGCTCTTTCGAGCTATATGGCCGGCCTATTGACAATTCAGCTTACTGATCCGATGGGATATGTATGTATACTCTGCTTCTACTTCAGATATCCTCATTATGAAAGAATCCGCGGAGAAACTCCGAGCATAACTATCTCAATTATTCGCTGTGCGACCATAAGTTTCCTCATACAGCCAGCAATAAAGGACCACGTCTCAGATCCATATCTCATCACTGGCAACACGCACTGGTTATATCATCTTGTTTTTAAATTTTGAGTTTTACCTCACGAGATGTGTCGTAATCTCCCGAACGTTGCCCATCCGAGTTGGTTCCGTCAATAGAACTCTTGGTTGAAGTTGGACTTACCTAGTCAGATAATTTGTCCCAGGTAAACATACTAATAAAAATCTTCAATCTTTGTCCATACTAAACTGGAAAGACATGTTGAAGACCACAGGTTTTATCTTCAAACTATCATTAGTATCCAGTGATAGGCAGATCTCGTAGATAGATGTGTCAGGAATTTGAATTCAGCTATTTTGTATATCTTTCCACAACCGTGTGGTCATCGATGGACCACATGCAGGAGATGTAGACATTTTGAGAAAAAATATTTTTGTACATCTTGCAACTGCATGGTTTAATTAACAAAGATGAATTTGTTCCAGAAACTACTTAGAAATGGGCTATCTTCTTAACGACTGCACTAAGCTGTTTATGCACGTCGTAATGCTAATTGCCGCAGTCATAGCTTACAATCAAACAATAAAGCTGGATATAAATGAACACCCTATCTCCTTATTAGATGACGTGCTTCTCTTCGTATGCTTACCAGCGTTCTTCATGGAAGTAGTTCTGTCAATGGTTGCCACAATAAGTTTGCACAACATCGTTAAAACTGTTGATTTAGCAGTTATGGTAAGTAATATTCAATTAGTTTGTTATATCCATTTAGTAAAATAACTACGATTTCTGCCAGTTCAATCTACTGTAAGCCACATAAAAGAACATCGTTGCAAAAAAAACACGCTTTTGCAGTTAACCGCACAAAAAAATAGAAAATAAATAATAGTTGTGTAGGGCGTACCCCAACTAGATGGAGTGACGACCTGGTAAGACATGCAGGAAGTCGATAGATGCAGATGGCTCAGGACCGTGTTTTGTGGCATTATTTGGGGTAGGCCTATGTTCAGTAGTAGACTTGTGAAGGGCGGTAATGATGATGATGATGAAATAATAGTTTAAAAAAACAAAAAAAAACCATTGAAGTAATATGTACTTACGTACTAGAACATCTATTTCAAACAAGAGTAGTGTGGCGCATGCACGGTTGGTTTTTATCATAGATTATGCGTAGGCAGAATGATAAGTATGTAAAAATAGATTGTATTGTTAATTATGTAAATTATATCGCGTATAATTTTTAAAATTTGTCTTTTATTTTGCATATAGTATGTGCTGATTTAATATAATATTACATCAGAATTACATTTTAATTATATTTTTATTTAAATATTATAAAAGGTAACTATGTAAAATATAAAAAAAATATACTAAATGTATGTGTAACAAAACTTTTGATATAGCATATGATTTACAAATATATTTATTTAGATTAGAATAAGAGTCGTTTATAAGCTGGGCACGTGAGAGTTAAAAATGAACGAATTTATTCCAGTATTCCATATTTCATGGCTTGGACGTGGAAATATAAACATAAAAGAATAATCAGCAAATTTAAATATCAAAAATTTTGCCTAATTATGAATACTTTTATTTGTTTCTACAAAAAAAAAACATATTATATTATGCACAATTTTTCTCACACTTAAGTACCTACAGAAACATCGCATCTGAACAAACTCATTTCATAATCTATATCCCATAACCCGGGATGGCGATTAGAAGTAATTTGTTTGATTATTAATCAATAATACTTTTTATTATAAACAAATAAATAGAGAAAGTGGTAAAATTTAGTAAAAGAAATTAAATAATTTTATATTTATACCGCCATTTTGTTGTTCTCGCTTAAAATAAATCCGAAGGCAAATGACTAACCCCCCCCCCCCTCGTTTGACTCCCCTAAACAATTTTTGTTCGTTTCGGCATTGTAAGTAAACAAACTCAACAAATAGCAAAAAAATACTTAACAAAACACAATCATAAACTTAATAACCAAAAGTAAAAGCAATGCCATCAAAAACATAACTAGTAAAAAAAACCAAGTCTCGCAACTAAGTTCTTCTACCGTAAAAAGTTGTGAGATCCATGTAATACCAAGTCTGTAAATTTATTCAGTACCTACTTAAGGGTCTTTCTGCCTCAAGTTATAACGTAATTAGCTAACCTAACAACATCTTATAGTGACCATGTCAATATTAAAAATCTTTTATGTTTTTAATAAATAGATTGACTTGGCCATCGCATGAAAACACAATGTATCTCACTAGTAATATATATTATATTATAATTAATAGAATCAGGCGTTACTTTGCGGAAATCCATTATATAAAAGCTTTTACAAAAATTTACTTCGCAAATATCCGCGTTATAAAATAAAATGATGTGTCTTACCTAGTATGAAGAAGCACCTCCCGCCCTCCCTCAATTGCGTGCACTAACCCCGTCACCACTAATCCCAGCACCGCTACTCCCAACACCACTACAATATCTGTGTGTCTTGCCTAGTGTACTGGTGTTGGGAGTAGCGGTGCTGGGATTAGTGGTGACGGGGTTAGTGCACGCAATTGAGGGAGGGCGGGAGGTGCTTCTTCATACTAGGTAAGACACATCATTTTATTTTATAACGTGGATATTTGCGAAGTAAATTTTTGTAAAAGCTTTTATATATTATATTAAATTAGATTGTTTAGTGCGACTGCAAAGTCAATCTATGTATTTAAAACATAAAAGATTTTTAATATTGATATGGTCAATATAGGATGTTGTTAGGTTAGTTAATTACGTAATAACTTGAGACAGGAGAGACAAGGGACAAACAAGATACAATAAATTACCGACTTGGTATTACATGGATCGCACAACTTTTTACGGTAGAAGAACTGAGTTGCGAGACTTGGTTTTTATACAAGTTATGTTTTTGATGGCATCTCATTTCTTTTTGTAGAAAATCCTACTTTTTCTCCTTTCCGGTACCATCTACTTCTTGAATACCAACTACGGATTATCGGGCAATTTAGTCTACTTAATACTTTGCTGGATTTTGGTACAGCTTCATAAGACATGTCCCATTCTTGCTTTCTCATTCCGTTGACCATTTTACAAGTTACCTTTGTACATAATTATATCTAGGTACCTATCTACATCTATTATTCCGTTATATTATACTTAATTTACAGGTACACTGATTCAGTCACTGCAAATGTAACTTTGTAATCCTATACATTTATATAGGATTACAAAGTTATTAATACAGTTAGTGTATCTAGAAAACTGGACCGAAATTACACAATATTTTAGTTTTTCCTTCATTTATATACTTATCACTAATTGTATTCTAAATTTGAAGCTTCTATGTCTGCTAGAAGTGCCTTAGAGTTTTGATGATCGGTCAGTCAGTGAGTGACAAAATTAACAAATTTTGACTAGTTATAATTCTTAATCTATTAGTTGAAATTGAATGAAATTTGAAATATACCGTGTATATACAATATAATACAATGCATGCTTGGTTACTGAAAATTCAGGCCTCTAGTTTCATCCACAACGAAGTTATAGGGGTTCAAAATGGCCTGAACCGCTTCGAGAAAAGGATGGTACGGCCGTGCCGCTTTTTTGCTCGACTTGGTGGGGGCACTGCCGTGCCCCCAGATATAAACTCAACCAGAATTTACAAAATGGCCGATAGGTACTTCATACAAAGTGCTAGGCGCTAGCATAGATTATACACATTAGTGTTGCCAGGTGTCCCGATTTTCAGGGGTCTGGTGACACGTCGCGATTCATTTTTGATCAGGACGACAAATGTCCCAATTATTTCTAGCCTTCTTAGTCTGTACTTCGATCGATAATTATGACAGCCAAAATAAATACATTTAAATAACTTAGCTTTGAAAATGGGCATAAATTTGTTCCAGAACTAGATAGCAAAGTACTAATAGTACATAAGAGCATGGACGCCATATACGAGTATATCACACATATTATTTTCGGACTATTTGAACTTGGTAGAGCAATAGCTAAGCGACTTCATTACTAGATTCGGCATGGAACACATATTTGTACAAATACAAAAGTTTCTTATATTTCATAAATACAAATATTTGTTCCATGTGTTTTCCAGATACAAGTCATGTACGTTGAATTCTTCCACGATACAAGGTAAATGTAACTTTTAAAATAATTTTAATAAAGTTACAGTTGCCTCTATTATTGTGCAAGCATGTAAGCATCATAGTGTACCTCGTACAACTGTTTTGGCGTGACATGTTTTTCTTTTTCTTTTCTTTTTTTTACTAAAGGTTAGTATAATATAAATAGTCTGTCGCACAAAATAAATAGTCTGTTTTTACTATTTCAGTTTATCCAAGTAATCATCCAAACTACTCTGTTGGTTGATGGTCTACGACGATGCAGTAACAGCAGAAAACTGCGGAGAAAGAAGCCTGGGCGAGAGTTACATATGTTCCTCATCATAGCAAACGTAGCGATGTGGCTGTTCAACACATTCTCATACAAATCTCCCGATAGATTGGACGAGAGATACGAGTACTACGGCAAAGTGCTTTGGTCAATACTAGGTCATATCAGCTTACCCCTTATCATGTTTTACAGGTTCCATTCAAGCGTATGTTTTGCAGATATTTGGGGTTCCGCTTATAAACCTGGTTCTGAACATTGAAACAAATGTGAGCCATTGTTATTTTATAATAAGCATAAAAATGAAAAAAAATAAAACATATATTTTTTTTAATATAAATCTTTGTAATGTGTTTTATTATTCATGATTTGCATTGTTTTTCATTATTATATTATTTAAGCCACTTTTCGAAACATCTGAATTTTGACAAAATAAAGATACAAATTAATAATCATTTTTACAGTGAAGAACTATGATATATTTTTAATTCATAATGCATAATGATTTCTTATATTTGCGCTACTATATCATAAATTACCTTAACGCCATAAACTCCATAATTCAATTCACAATTGAGTTAGAAATAAATAATTCTTTAGCTTTCGTAGATGTTTTAGTCATTCGGAATCCTAATAATACCATCAGTCATATTGTGTATAGAAAAAAGACCCATACTAACCTATATTTCAACAGAGAATCTCACATTCATCCTTCACAGTTAGCTACCGTGAGAAAATCTTTGTTATAGAGAGCACAAGGAATCTGTGTCAGTAACAAAGTGTCCAGTATGTGAAGCAAGTATTGCACGACAACAAACTTCGAGTCCCGCGTCTATGTCACAGGGACCAAGCGAAGCCGGCCACAGTCGAACGTGTACCTGCTGTACTGCCATATGTCAGAGGAGTCACATACAATATAGGCTACATCTTGAAGCGGATTTCCATACGAACACACTACAAGCCGCTGAAAAAGATTAGTCAATTCTAATTATTAGTCAAGTGTAATATCCCTCTACAAGATGCAGGAGTGTACAAGCTTAATTGTGAATGTAATCTCTTATATAGGATAAAAGAACGGTCCACAAAAACCCGAATAAAAGAATATATTGCTTATATGAAGCACCGACGCCCCGGGAAGTCTGCAGTATGTCAACATGTCTAAGATCGTCCCCATCATTACATCAGATTTGATAAACCACAAATCCTCGCAAAAGAACACCGATTCCTACCAAGGATGATTCGTGAGGCTATTGAAACTAAAAATTATATTCCAATTTTTATAGAGAAAATGGCTGAATGCTACCATGTGCTTGGGATCCCATAACTAATAAAATAAAATCCAAGTTTAAGCATACTACTGCAAGACTAGATAATGTAAGCTCGTTCTGCGTAGATCGGGCCAAATATTATTATTTAAAAGCTTAAGGTAGCCTTCGTTAACTATGACATCAGTTCACCGTCTAACCCACCTAGGCAAGGGTGCTATAAAGTGCCTGAAATGTCTGGAATTTAAAAGGTAACATCAAACGCGATAAAATCCGTCATTTTTGTTTTATTTAATCAAAATGCATTTGCATATGCAAAAAGACGGCTACGTAGATTTTAGTATTGAGCTGTGACGCTAAAGGCCGCAGGTTCTTGATCTTTATGTATGTCCTTGTGCAATTTATGTATGCTTAGCTGCATCTACAATACAAGAGAAAATATTATGTGGATATAATGTGGCGGTAATTATTTTTTATATTACACTAGCGATCTGCCCCGGCTTCGCACGGTTGATTTCTTTGTCTCGACAACAGCGGTATCAACCGGATCCAATTGTAAATCTAAACCACCCCACTTAAACACACAAAAAATTTCATCAAAATCAATCGAGCCATTTTCGAGTTCTACCGAGACTAACGGATAGCGTTTTATTTTTATATATAGGGATTTCAAAAAACATATCACTTGTTTGCATCGAAAAAATTTTAATTGTTTGTACAATACATAATCAGTACTCGTTGTTAACGTGCCGTGCGTATGGAATATGCAACTCAGCAGTGCAGTGACCTTACACAAAAAACTTTAGACTTCATAATGCAACGCACTACTTAATTTGGAATAACCATAGTATAGTTTTATTTGGTGATGATGCTCCGTTTATTTTCTAATAATGTTATGTCGAAATTAGTACTAATTAGTAATAAAACGAAATGTATTAAATTCACGACACCAAATGTTAAACAGGTCTCTTGTTGAATCCACTGTTTTTCTTGGAATTACAGTTCACGCGAAGCTTCAGGCTGCACAGATATATCTGTGCAGCCGTTCTTTCTAGCGTGTTCGAAAGACTAACGACCAAAAAAACATACTTTCACATTTGTTATATTATACGAGCAAGATATTTCTTATAGCAAAACGCTTGACGTTTTATTATAAGTAATTGTGAAAAAGCTATATATTTAACACAAAAAAAAACATTTATTTCACTTATCAAATAACAAGTAGTAGCAGTGCATATTGACATAATATGATTAAAGGTGATGATAACGTCATCGTTAATGACAATATCTTTGCGCACGTACATGTATCCTCCCTTAAACACAAAGCACGTATCAATGCATCGTATTAGCCGAGCATCTCAGAGAGGTAGTGAATTAATTTCCCGCCATCTAGTGCAATTACCCAATATTAGGTTAACTACTCGGGCGGTCTAAGAGCGCTAGCCGCACTTAACTCCTCGCGGCCCGATATACAAGTTACCTCCTCAGGTCATACTGAAGTGTATACCATGTAGAGTAAATATATATAGTCAGTTACTTTATATTCCCGTTTACGCCATAGATATTAGACGCTCGGTAAACGCTCGATGAAATAATGTTTATATGATATTTTTATCGCCGCGGCGTTAGAGAACCAGTCACTCCATTTTGTTACGTAGGTGTCGTAAGAGAGAGAAATACGAGAAAAATGTAATGGCTTCCGACAAATAGCAGTAGGTCATTTGGTTTAAGACAGATGTAAAATATTTAAACCGACGACGAGAAGCAGCATCGAAGCCGCGTTACATCTGACACTGCGATGATCAATCGAGGCCTGCAAAGCGTAACTATTAGGATTAATATTCTTAACAAAGGCTCTCCCTTTGTCCCATGTCCAGCAGCGAACTTCTACAAACTGAGGAAGAATGAAGAGTTTTTAAATTCTCAATTAATTTTAGTATTGCATGATAATCATATTTTCAAATGCTTTATGATTAGTTGCCATATTCATATTAATAAAGAGGAGATTAATCATTTTTCTTTCCTCTGCACTAATTTTGACTTAAATTTACCTAAGCTAAATTAAGAATGTAAGCTGCGGTGTATTATTACTTACTTTACTTAAGTAACTAAGCATACATACTTGTCCATTCATTTTAATTAGCTAATAAATTATGGTTGCCGTTAATGTTACAGCCTGTTAAAGCCCACTGCTGAACATAGGCCTCCCACACTGATTGCCTAATAGGGGGGACATTTACCATAGTTGCCATGTTTGGCAACCAGGTTGGCAACCTTAGTTTTTTTTTATTTAAGTCGTTATTAGGAGGACGCTGCTGCCTATCTCCTGATTTATTTGCCTCTGTAGCCTCTTACGACACTCACGGAATGATATGAGGTAGTAGATAATTACAGATTTACTAAATGTGTAGATATAATAATTTTTTTTATTAAATATACACATTTATTAAATCTGTAGATTCAGATATTAGAACGTAGAATAGAATCATTTATATACAAGTTGTCGCAAAAAATATTGTCAAGCAGAAGTCCAGAGATAGAGCAGCTCTTGGGTACCCGAATCATCCCCATGAATGTTCCGCTATTTATCATAGTTTACGAGTTATGAATTTTTTCCGAATATTTGAAAATTTTCAACTTGAACAACTTAAAAAATTCAAAAAAAAGTAGAAGGCTTTTTCGATACATCTTTTGTGCAACTGAATAGTCATGAGTTGTAATTTTATGCTTAAGATAATCAGCTTCGTAACTTTGATGAAAATTATGAAAATGTTGGTATGAAGTGGAAAATTTACTTTGGGTGAATTATGGCTTAAAATTTTCAACTTTAAATTAAAAATCTAAATAGGTCATTTTTTAAAGGATAAGGGTGACAAACGAGCACACAGTCCAACTGATGGTAAGTGATTGCTGTGGCACATAGAAATCTGCATCTATCCTTGATTACGAATCAAAATGCAGATGCGTTGTCAGCAGTGAGGACTAAGACGGAATGCCTCTTTTCCAGTAAAAAGGGTCTCCAGTTATCTACAATCACCATACGAAACATAGCAGCATTAAACTGCTATTTTACGCTGGTATTCTGTGAGAGCATGGTTCTTCCCCGGTTGAGCCGACCCATTCTTGCTACAGCTATACCAGTAATATAGCTGCAGCATGGCTCTATCAAGATTTGATGGTCCTTAAGTATGTTTCAGGAATTTTCCAGGCCCTCAACTTTCATAATCATTTTAAAAAATAGTACTTAATGAGCTACTTTAGTTAAAATAGGCCTTCAACGACAGCGAGGTGAAAAATTCTTAAAATTAGCCATCTGATTACAAATTTTATTTTGGCCATTTTATCAACTTTACAAGTTGATAAAATGGCCAAGGACAGTATTTCATGCCAGTGTGCTGGCATGAAATACTGTCCCGCTCTGCTGAACACGCCAAGCTTTTTAGACGCCAATTGGGCCTTCTCTTCCAAGTGACCACGAAATTGCACGTCACTCGATATGTCGACTCTGAGGATTCCGATACTGGTTGAGGCAAGAAGGGGAGTGGCTTGAAACTGAGTAGATACGACAAAAACTTGTGTCTTCTGAGGATTAAGCTGGACTAGATTTAGTCGCCCCCAATCCGAGACTTTGTTCAGCAAAGACTCGACTTCAGACACAAGTTTGTTCCGGTACTCGGCGACGTTTTCCCGAGAAATATTGGCACGGCCGGTGTATAGAGCATCACCAGTGCTGTCATCCGCATAGCAATGAATGTTACCAGTTAGCAAGATATCATTGATATGCAGAAGAAACAGCGTTGGTGATAGCACACAGCCTTGTGGAACACCAGCGTTAATAGGCTTGTAGTCGGAGCATGCACCGTCTACAACGACCTTGATGCTCCGATCTGCAAGGAAGCTGGTGATCCAATCACACAAATTCTCGGGAAGCCCATAGTAAGGGAGCTTCGAAAGAAGCGCTTTGTGCCAAACCCGATAGAAGGCCTTCGCATTGTCC